CTACAGTTAACCTAGCTTTGTTTCACCCCTAGCCGAAGGCAGCGTGACACTCTCCGCCAACTGCTAAGGCTTTGGGTTGTGAAAGCACATGACATAAGCCCATGCGCACGTCTGTTTTCCATGCTTTCAATGCTGGGCTACAAGACAACCACTCTTGAAGGAAAGAATCCTTGAACAATTGCATTTTGCAACGCTGGTTTGGCACCTTGATGTTGTCATGTAGCCAGCTGCTTATTCACAGTTGGGGTTGTCAGTGTGGCATTGTCTCAAGTCAGAGCCAGCCTGTTTGTCAATTTCATACATCATCTAACCACATGGAAACGTGCCTGGTGCTGCTCGCACTGGCGCTGCAATGCCAGTCACATCGTGTCCAGCTGATGTCGGCACAGGATGTGGGGAAAGTGCGGGTGAACTTCTCAGATTTGGACCCGTCAGACACACAATTGATCGAGATTTTTGATCACCCAGTACATCATAAAGATCAGCCATTGCGACCAGTAAATGTGGAACGGAACATTGAGAGGGCCCAGAGACTTGGCCGCATTTCAGCCTGTTGTCTTGACGACGCATGCCACCCCCAAACACATCCACCCGTCACGATATACTCCCGCTTGCTGTTGTGAATGTCAGGCAATTTGGCATCGTCCCTCGTCCAGCTAGACGTTGGCCAAAATGGGCGGATGAAAAAAAGTTGATGTGGAGTAATTGGGAACCGGACTATGGCAAGGATAAGTTCAACTACGCAGCAGGTGCTAGTGGTGCGGTGCAAGCCCTGAAGGGCATCACAGCAAAAGCCGGACATGTACATCTCAGCGAAGAAAGCAAAAAGTCAATGGACTGTGCCACAGGAATCCTCCAAGGAGTCGGCACTCTCGCGACAACTTGTGCCCCTATCTTTGGTCCTGCTGCTCCTTTCCTGGTTGTGGGAGGGGTCTCGCTCAACTTGGTGGGCGGCGTGCTCGATGCGATCTTCGATGAGGAGCCCAAGGCTAACAGCCGTCAAGACGCCTTGGGGACCCTGAACCAGACGGTCAATGTGCTCAGCGCGGACGTGAAAGCTCTTTCCAATACAGTGTCTGATATTGGCAACAAGGTGGACAAGATCGACGCCAACGTGCAGCGACTTGATGGCACTGTCCGAAAAATCGCGAGCAACCTCGACAAGGTCACCATACAGGTGGATCGGCTGAACAGCCGCGTAGGTAAACTTGAAAGCAGTGTCGCTCGGATTGAGGATGTGACGAAGCACATCAACCAAGAATTGCAGAAGACCGGTTTGCGTTTGGACAGGTTAGGCCAGCATGTTGGAAACATAGAGAGGGCACTGGCAAGTGTGCTGACCAAATTGACGGAGCTGAGACAAGGACAAATCGATATTTTTCTAAAACCTGACCTCGAGGATTTCCGGGTCTTGTCCGATCAGGAGCAGCGTTTACTGAGTCTGATAAAGGAGAATGCCACATCAGAAGCCGTGCTGGAGTTTTTTGACGGAAGAATCTCTGACAACCTTCACCGCTATGACCGCTTGCGTGCAAACTTTGAAACAAACCTCAACAAGCTGGCGGGATGCCAAGAATGTGGCAGCTTTGCAGCGGCGGCAACATATTTCCACCAAGCCCTAGCTGCTCGTTTCCAAGTCTTTGACATCCTCTACATCACAAGGCTCCATCGAAGGCAACTTCATTCCATGCAGGTCTTGTTGGAGGATTTTGACAAAGATCTGCAGAAGTATCCTGCGATCGCAACTGACATCGGGATAAAGCCATGGCTGAAGCTTCAGCTTCCGCACCTGGCAGAGTTCGTGCAGGATCCTGTTCTTTTACGGCAACATCCTGACATCTTGGAGAAGGTTCAGCAGTTGCAAGACCAGCTGGGTTCGGCTTCCAGCCGTAAGCAAATTCAAGCCGTGCAAGAATTGACGAAGCTGGGGCGAGCGGCACTACCCGCTGTGCCTGACATGCTAAATCTGCTGACTGGATCCACCAAGCTGTTTGTCGGGGACACAAACAGATGCCTTACTGCAACCGATGCAGGACTGCTGCAGTTGGCCCAATGTGATGACCCGAAGATGAACGAATGGCAATGGTTTTACTGGCAAGACGGTCTCCGGCTGGACCACAATACCTCAAAGTATGGTGGCACATGCATCGGGAGATCGCGGAGGACGCGTGGGCCTCGTGAAGGGACCTGGGCAGCAGTCCTAAATCCTGGCTACGGCTTCGTGCCCTGCTCCTCGGGGGCAGAGTTTGCGGACGGTTACATTCGCCTGGACGATGACACTGCAGGCCTTCATCTGTCGCTCCGCTCCCCTGAAGATGGAGAGAAAACGGTTTTCTTCGGCCTCAGCAATGGAGGTTGGGATTTCAGCGATATTTGGGTGATCGGTCAACATGAACCATGTGCCGCAGCAGTCAAAGCGCTGAAGGCCCTGGGCACGCCGGAGTTGTCGGAAGCAGCACATGACCCCAACAAGAATGCCTTGTACAAGGAGTGTTTGGCTGCTGCATGAACCATCCGATAAACATCACCGGGGCTCACGAAGGGTCAACTTCGCTGATGTGGAGCTAAAAGCGAGCTGCAGATAAAAGGTCGAGTACGTTGCCTGCACCTCCCCCAGCGCCTTGAGATTGAAATGTGCATGAAACCTTGCGGGACCACACCTGTCTGCGGGAAACCTGACAGTAACAGTAACGTTTGCATCTTGGCCATGTCTCATGAGGTCATGAAGTCACGGGCGTTTTCTTGTTAGAAAGGCAAGGGCCGCTACAATCTTGACCTTAAAGCCAAGTTGGTACGGACACTGCGTGCTTGTCTTGAGGCTCCCCACGCCCATCCATCGCGGGTTCTGTGGAGTCGAAAGTCTATGAGGGTTGCATCCGCAGACGAATGTTTCCGCAGCTCTCGGAGCACGAGCGTAGACCCTTGCCGTGCTCCCGTTCCCGAGCCATGAGATAAGATGGCCGCATGCCGGGTGCTCTTTCTGCTCCTGGTTCCTGCACTTGCGGCTCCACCATCTTGCTTGGTTCTCGCCTAAGTCGCAATTGTGGAAGATGACCAAACCCGTCAACGCCCTTTAAGCCAAGCCATGCCAAGCCAAAATCGCAATTGAAACGGCGTTCCGGTCGATCCTAACTTGAGATGTCTGGCTTTAGTGTGTTGAGAGGGAGGCTTAGTGGGCCAGAGTCTTGAGCCCCAGCAAGCCCAAATCACACAAAGACCACATTGTATGCGAACTTTGAAGCCCCTTGAACCCCTGAAACCCTGTAGTAAACCGGATAGTGACCCCTTTTGTCGTGACATGTAGGGACCCTAAACCCTAAACCCTAAACCCTAAACCCAAAACTTTAAACCCTAAACCCTAAACCCAAAACCCTAAACCCTAAACCCCTAAACCCTAAACCCTAAACCCCAAACCCTTATTGCAACCCGTATAGTAGCCCTTACGGCGCTTCCGAGGACGAAGGCGGCGACGGCACGAGCCTTCTTCAGACTGGTTTTAGCAACGAGGTGGGAGTATGATATAATGAAAAGGGTTTAGGGTTTAGGGTTTAGGGTTTAGGGTTTAGGGTTTCGGGTTAGGGTTTAAGGTTTAAGGTTTAGGGTTTCGGGTTTAGGGTTTAGGGCGTAGGGTTTAGGGTTTAGGGCGTAGGGTTTAGGGTTTAGGGTAATTAATAGCTAGGTGGCAGTTTGGGAAACTTTGAAATTTCCCTTATGGTTTCTATAGAGGAATCTGGGAAACTTTAAAATATTTTCCTTATGGTTTCTATAGAGGTACCTGTTCATAAGTACTTCTCAGGGCCCCAAAACTACAACCCAGGCAAGGTTTTGAGACAATCAGCTCCCATGCCGGCAACAACCAGCGCGCCGGAGGTAAACCCTGAGACTTGGCTGTATTGGGTTTATGGGGTTTAGGGTTGCTCTGATTTCGGAATGCTGGCACTGAGATAAGTGTCAATAAAACTAGAAGACGAGTTGCCCGAAAGCATCATTAGCCATGAGT